CGCCGGATGGGTCAAGAGACACGGGTACCCTAGAGAAACTGCCATGCGACCTAAGATCCCTTAGGGCCAAGCAAGAACATCATCAAGGACCGGCTTGAGCTCGTCTATCCTGCTTTGCTTGTTCCTCACAGTTATGATCCCTTGAGAAGACTTGCTGACATCCAGCACTACTCCCAGGGCCTCAACCTCGCTATGGAAAGGGGGGCGCTTGTCCTCCGCGAATTCAAAGCCGGTTAGGCTCAAGAGAGCACGCGCGGTGGCTTGTGTGGAGCACGCCACTGCTGAATGTGAGGCCATCGGAAAGTCATCGAAGAAAGCTCCCCACGCCATCTTAGGTGGCACCCCAGGGCATGTAGAAGGAAGCTGGCCCTCAGGAAATGATAGACGCTTGCCAGGGCACCGAATGGGAGCGTGTGCATGATAAAGCATGCTACTTTCTGCGATCCAGGATCCTTCAGGCATACCACCGTTTTGTCGTACTCACACGGGGAAAGGGGAAGCTGCTTGTAAGCGGATTTGAGATCAATCGTCGAAACCTTGAGATCCGCGCCTACTCTCTCCCAGTCGGGGTGCGCTAGACCCACGAGTCGTTGTCCCGAAGAAAGGGAGAAATCGCAGGCGCCTCGCGAACGATAGAAATGACATGGGACGTTCAAGGACCAGATAATGTGGTCAATGGCCTGCAGCACAATCTTTTCCGCAACGCAGCACGTGTTGTTAAGGAGGTTTTCCTTAAAGTCGTCTATTGCTCGCAGTTTCCCTTTCTGAACCACACAGAATCTCCTGATGGGAAGCCAGGTTTGCATCATGGAGTCCAACTGGTGAGGGGCATACGGGCCCTGGAGCCAGCCTTTGCTGGATGCTTCCTTGAGGGTAAGGTCGAACAGCTCGGCGTCATGTTCGCCAGGGCTTGCGCGGAAAATGCTGTCAAGGATCATGGCCTTAAGGGAATTGTCCGTCGGATTGAGCCAGATGGATACTATAATAATATTCAGGTAATCTTCCACAATCAATATCTAGAATCAAATCAAAATTCTTCCTCAAGAAAAACATCCAAAAGAATCTAGAAATTGGAACTGTGCAACGCATGTCGGACTTTTTAACTGGACGGTGGTTGGGATCCAAACTCAAGCAGCTATCACGCAAGACCGTCGCCTGGCGGGCTCATCACGAGCCACACGTATCCACCCAACACCTCACAGCCTCACTACGCGCATGATCCTGTACACCTCGGCCGAGGTTGATCATGTATCTGCACGCTACGTGCTATTCTCACATGTTGGAGAAATTTGCAGCAACGCGTCATTCAAGTTTATCCTAACCATAAACCATGGCACAAGACATGTAAGGTGGAGCTGGGAGATACACGGGCGTCCAGCTGCATTAGGGCGGGCCGGGTGGGTCTAAAAACCAAAAGTCTTGTGCCATAAATCAGCGTCAACCAACTGCATTCTCACGTCAACGCAAGGAATTCAAGGTCAAACGTGTACCAAGAAATTTTGCAATCGGTCTGACAACAAGAAAATGGTTTTTCCCTTTAGGCAATTTGCCAGGCGTAATGTGGAAGCATAAACGCAGTAAGCGGGGCCCACCCACCCACCCAGCTAATCCTTCAGACAAACCCATTGGGAGACCCAAGGAGCTTGTCCGCCGGATTGAGCCAGATGGATACTATAATAATGTTCGGGTAATCTTCCACAATCAATATCTAGAATCAAATCAAAACTCTTCCTCAAGAAAAACATCCAAAAGAATCTAGAAATTGGAACTGTGCAACGCATGTCGGACTTTTTAACTGGACGGTGGTTGGGATCCAAACTCAAGCAGCTATCACGCAAGACCGTCACCTGGCGGGCTCATCACGAGCCACACGTATCCACCCGTCCGTAGGCGTGGGGTGAGCGATAAAATGAAAGGAAGTGCTACCACGCAGTCTTTTCCGAGAGCTTCTGCTTCTTGGAAGTCGGAGCGGTCTTTTGTGTGTGAAGTTTCTGGGCAGCCTTAAGCTCAGCGAACTCCGCCTGCGCATCCTGAAGCGAGTCGAAGATTGACATGGGAAGGTCCCCGAATGATACATCCACCCTGAGGCTCAAGTCAAAACGATCGAACCGTGAGTTTGTGAGGTCGTCAGCCTCAATGTTTTCTTCCCTTGGGCGCCACTGAAGTTTGATGCGACCACCACAGGAGGCCAAGTACGATGCGAACTGCATCATTAGGCCCATCAATGGCCACTTCATGGATGAACCCTTCTCGAGCGCCTGGGGGTTAGAGCGATTGTCAGTGCCGGCCGTGATAGTGCACTCGGACACACAAATGTCAGGCGCGAATGCTAAGCAAGCCATGTAGGTCGCAAGCAATTCTGCGCTGGAGGATGCCCACTGCGACGATCCATCTTCCTTAAAGAGCCAGGGAACCTGATCAGGCGTCAGCTCGACGCAAAACCATTTGGCTGTGGCAGGATCAGCTTCAACCCCTAGGAGCCAACCCCCTAAGACAACCCGACCTAGTTCGCACTTGGCGTCCGTCCTGAAGAGCTGCTTCAAGGGCCTCACCGGTGCTGGAACGAGGCGGTGGCCTTCCAGCAGCTGCGCGCGGTTTAAACCAAAGACAAATGAACCAAAGCAGGCATGCGGCATGCAGTCCCACGGGCTAAGACCGAAGTCCATGAATGCAAAGGTGCAAGACATGGCTTCAACCAAGTGAGGATGCGTGCAACAAAAGTGAGCCTGCCAGTTAGCTCAATCATGGCACGTCCAACAACAATCCAGTCTGACTCTTCAGCGTTGCTGATCCAAGAGATGACCCAGCGGGCGCGGGAATCGGAGACGCCTGCACTCCCAGTGGCGTATGACACGTGATAGCCAATGTAATCGACTGCAACGCCGCCCTTGAACTTATGATAAGCGAAAGGGGTTCCCACAACCTCGTATGCAGCAAGCACCATCCAAAGAATCAAGAATTTGTCGGGTCCAGCCGTGAGGAGATGTAAATCATCAACGTAAACCAGCTGCAAGTTCCACAAAGTGAGAATCACCCTCAGGACCCAACGGCCAACAAGTCCGAAAAGGCGGGCCCACCAAAAGGCCGCTGAAGAAACTCCAAAAGTTCCGACCAAATTAAGCCAAATGGTACGGGAGCTGGACGTGGAACGACAACAGCTTCGGCCAATCGACCCTGCGCACCTTTACGCGCCTGTGCGCCTGGGAGATATCCGCGGAAATCGCGAACACTGCCTCTCCCAAGGGCAGCCAGCTCAAGCAATTCGTCCGGCCCTCTTCAACATTGGCGGTCAGATGGCAAGACTCACGTGACAGGCCTCGTTGAGCTCTATGCGGCCATCTTGGCTTTAAGATTTTGGAGGAGGCACCTCGAAGGCCGGAGAATCATCCTGTTCGTGGATTCTTGGCCGGCTTTAGACTCCTTGGTTAAAGGGGATTCTAGTGTGCGCCTCTGGAGAGAGCTGTTGCTTGTGTTGGAAAACCCAGAGGAGCGTTTGCCTATGTTTCTTTGGGTTGCTCGCGTCCCTTCCAAATCCAATGTGGCAGACCCACCAAGCCGTGGATCCTTGGACGAGCTTGCAGCGTGGAGACTGAATGTTGAGCGCCCAGTGTGCCCTCTGTGCAAGAAGACGCTCAGCAGCCTTGTCTAGATCTATGCTAAAGCGGACTGGGGAAAGACTATGCAAAATGCGTCCATGGTGAAACCAAGGAGCTACGTGGGGCAAATGTGTCCATTCGTGATTTACCCCCAGTGCGCTGGAAATGAAAACATCCGATCGTCTGCATGCTTGATTGCTATGTTATTGATTGTTCATACTATTGACGAAACGATTTGATTGATAACATTTGATGCGAACATTTGCCGGAATATGCACTCCGTTGTGTTCACTACTCCTCACGCGGTTAGCCGAGCTACTGCCTGTATATGTATGAGTGATTGTGGATTTATTATTTCACGCGAATACTATTTTGGAACTCTGGCAACTTCATAAGACATCTGTCGTGCGCGCGCGATATTATTTTATGAAATGCCAGATAGCTTTCGGTGTTTAGAAAGCGGTTCCAAAATAGTTTGTGTTTTACCAAAAACAAAAACACGTTTCCATGGTGCTCACGAAAATGCTTTCCGGTGAAACATGTTTTACATGTGAAAGCTGAATTGCATGCCATGGATTTGTGTTGATTATTTCTGTGCCCGATTCCTATCTCAAGGTATGCGCCTTAGGGCAGAGAAATTTTTGTCCCACCCACCCAACCCGGGAAAGACTATGCAAAATGCGTCCATGGTGAAACCAAGGAGCTACGTGGGGCAAATGTGTCCATTCGTGATTTACCCCCAGTGCGCTGGAAATGAAAACATCCGATCGTCTGCGTGCTTGATTGCTATGTTATTGATTGTTCACACTATTGACGAAACGATTTGATTGATAACATTTGATGCGAACATTTGCCGGAATATGCACTCCGTTGTGTTCACTACTCCTCACGCGGTTAGCCGAGCTACTGCCTGTATATATATGAGTGATTGTGGATTTATTATTTCATGCGAATACTATTTTGGAACTCTGGCAACTTCATAAAATGGTCCTAAGAAGATCAGCTGGATCGGCAAGATCCTTAGTCAACCCATCTGCGATCATGAGCTGTGTCGGGCACCATCTCGCACTAAGGCCTGTTCGTGCCATGCACTGCTTGATAATTGCCAAGTCTATAGCAACCCTTTTATCATCAACCTTAGAGGGGGACCCTGGGCTGTGCAAGGCATCGTACAGTGACTTGCAGTCGGTGATGCCTGTGACGGAAGTGTCCGCCAGATGGCTCTCGTATTGTCTGAGATCAAAGCTTCCGTGATTGATCTCGGAAATCATGAGCGAGAGCCATTCAGCCAGACCACTGACCATGCAAAAGATTTGGGTCTCTCCAGCAAGAGTAGAGGCTACCGCTCTGGGAAGTCTGAGGGATTTCCAGGCTACGGGGGACCATACCGCTTGATGATCTTTCTCCAGATTTTTGTCGGTACATACCCAGCTTGGGTCTTGCTCTGGGAAGCATTACCAAACCCGGCATCCGAGTGGAAGACAATGCGCAAATCCTTCCAGGGAATATGACGAACTGTGGTGCTGCTGGTAAAGCATACAACAGATCTTTCACTTTGGGGTGTCGGGAAGGATTGCTGCGAAAACGAGTCTGGGAGGAGATCCAGTTGGCCGCACCGTTGACTGCTCTCAGTGCCTTAGTTTCTTGTTCCGTTGCAGGGCTCTCTCTCTGACGCTGGCGCTCTTTAGTCAAACTTATGGGCCTCAAGTGTTTGGCGTAGGTCTCTTGGTGAAAGGTGATCTCAAAGGTCCTAGGGTCTTGAATGTACATGGTGCCACAAAACTCACCGGTCGAATTTTGGCATCGAAATCGGGGTCATGATGTCCTTGCAGACACCACCGAGCTTTGATTCTCTCCCCATCTTCATCGCATTTATTGGTGATGACAAAGCGGCTACCTATGAACATATCTGGGTGTTTAGCGCGGATGACTGCGGCCTGTTGACCCTTCCAAACTCGCACTGCATTCTTGCCAGAGACCGTTTCCCGCTCGAGGGTTTTGGCCTCGTCAACGCGGCCCTGCAGTTCAGGAGGATTGTTCTGAGGTGGGATTTCCTTCTGTGCTCGTTTTTGAAGGAACAATGCCATGAGCTGCTCTACATGACTGCAGTGAAGTGATTCAACCTGCAGGAGCTCTGTGCAAAAGAGAGCCTCAGTAGAGTGCACCCTTGCTCGCGCAGCTTCACGAGTCTCTTCGAGCTCTTGACTAGCGTCGCGCTTATGCCCACCTTCTCGGGGGCTCACACGAGATGAGTCTACAGCTGCAGCTAATGGATTGGCGCTCGAGGACACTTCTCCCTGGGGAAGCTGCCCTTCAATCACGCGGGGAACCATCTCGGACATCATTTCTACAAAGGTCTCAGGATTCATGTCTAGGGGCCGGATCCCAGGATTGGGTCTGGTCTTGCCTGTCACTCGATGGACGGGCCCGTATTCAGGGGAGAGTCTGCTTCTGACGGCGGAGGAATGCTGGCTCGGAGTGAGCCGGTGCATGCATTGCCTGAGACCTTGCTAGGCGCTGTGCGGCATTGAGTGCCGGTGGCTCGAAGTCTGGGACATAGTCAGATTGGCTCGCGAGGCCAAGCCATCGAAGTCTGCTGCATGCGGGGAATCCTGGAGGAGGTCTGATGGGACGCGAGGATTTCTACCGAAGACTAGTTGATAGGGGCTGGCACCTGCTTCTGGGATGAGGCTGTTCTTTGCCGACTGGGCTTAAGATGCGCTGAAACCACTGGCCGTGTCGCTCGGTTTTGCCGAGCTGCCATGGAGCTTCGGCTGCAGTTTGCTGAACATCCACCCCATGATTAT